TGTTGATGCTGGGCTTCAGTTTGCTATGTAGAAACCTAAAGTATTGAAGCAGCTCCAGCCTAATGGCTTCCCAGTTTAAAATATTTTCTAACACATTCCAATGACAGATCAAGGTGGGACATGAAGGCCCTGGACATTTTGGCCAATGGACAACAACTCTGATTCCAAAGCTCCCTGCGAAATCAGTTGACTTCACTGAGCCAGGTTTTGCAGCTCAACTTCACCTTCTGCCCAGTCGTGCTTCCTTCCTCTCCCTTCCATAGGCATTGATCCCAAAGATGGTCACTAAAAACCACGCTGAACTCTAAACCCCACCTCAAAGGCTGTTTCCCATAGAACTCAACCTATGACCTCTTGTTTGCAAAATATAGATAATAATAATTATACACATAGGTCATAGTGAAGACTAATAGCTGTGTGGAGTACCCAGCCCATAACAAGTACTTGAAACCGTAAGCCAACCTCGTTGTGGGGGTTTGCAAAGGCCAGTCTATTAATCACCTTGACTCTTCACTGGCGGGGATTCAGAGAGAAAAATTCTAAATGCCATAGATGATTTGTGTGCTAGATAAGTTATAGAAGGAAGTGGGGAAGGAAGGGGACATTTGGACCCAGCCCTGTGTGGACCCTGGCCTCCAGCTTACACCCCAGGAGGCTTCCCATAAAGAAAGTTAAGCCAAAGAACTGGGTCATCTGCATACTGGCAGAATATGAAGGCCAGGTTGTGATGGTGGAGGGCACAACCCTGGGAGTGCGAAGCCTGCGTCCAACACGCTGACCACCATGGCTATATTCCAGCAGCACCACCACCATGCCCAGAACCAACAAGAAGATCAGCATCCCAGATGGAAAGATGGGAGGCCAGAGGAGCAAATGAAGACCAGCTAGGGACATAGCAGCCACAGTCTCCTGCTATCCAGGAAGCTCACCTCTGGCCCCTTCACTGCCACAAATAAATCTTTGACCACCCCCCAGGGAGGTACTCAGACCAGAGACTGCATCGGTTTCACTACCTGGGGGGAGGGAGAGAGATTATTACTGTTATTTACACCAGCAGTCCCTACCCTTGTCGGCACCAGGGACCTTTGGCACCAAGGACTGGTTTAGTGGAAGACAATTTTTCCATGCAGGGAGGCTGTGAGTGGTGGGTATTACATTCCCATAAGGAACATGCAACCTAAATCCCTCATGCGAGCAGTTCACAGTAGGGTTCGTGCTCGTATGAGAATCTACTGCCACCTCTGATCTGACAGGAGACGGAGCTCAGGCAATAATGCTTGCTCTTGCTGGCCACTCACCTCCTGCTGTGCAGGGGGCCGGTTCCTAACAGGCTGAGGACCAGGGATGGGGACTACTGATTTCTATGACCTGGGAAAGTGAGGCTTGTGTACTGCAAAGCACCCTGAGGCTCTACAGAGACCTTCCCTGCTGGATCCAAGCACTGCTACTACCTTTTAAAGCAGCTGTCACTGCCACTATGTTGAAAAAAACACAGATGCATAGACAGCTTAAACAGTCACTCAAGGTCACAGAGCTGGTAGGAGGTGAACTGGGATTTGAACCCAAGTCTGATTCCAAGGTCTACATACTTTCAACCACTTAGCCCCACATAAGAGATTCCAAGAGTAGCGTTTTGTTCTTTTGCTTATTTTATTGTTTTTAAACATGAAAGCATCCCAGGAGACTCAGATACAGAGCTGAGAACCACCACACCCTGTCAGACCACTTCCTGTCACTCATGCCAATTCAGCAATGGATCCCAACCCCAGGGCTAGGAAGCTGTAGCTCCTGACCTCTACTCTCTCCTAGGAATCCACATCTAGAACAGCCTTTTGTGCTACTATTTACTCACAACGGTCTCAAATACCAATGGCCTCACCCATATGGTTTACCCAGGCTGCTGGATGCTTCCATGCAACATGGCAGTACTTGTTTATTTTTGTGCACTGAGGTGAACAATGGCACTGCAAAATAAAATTCAGTTTCAGTGGAACACAACAGAAAGAAGTCAATTATCCAGCATGAATTATTTATCTGGAGACAATAACCATGATGTTATTCCCCACAAGAGAGGACTCTGCAACTTGGAACAGGAGGAAAAAAGACGTGACTGCTACTGTCTGCCTATTACACTGCTTCAGACTGCATCATAGGCAAATTAACACTTCTGACATCCTGTAACTACATATGCGCCTTCTCTGTGAATGTGGACCATGCATAGGCCCCTAGAACATACACAATTAACAGATTGCTAGGTCCAGGGATTCTATTCCCCCAGTGTTCTGGCTAGGCCTGGCAATGCTAGGCTGTGAACATATTAAAGGAAATACCACCCTCTCTCTGTTGCTCATCCCACCCTATCAGAACTGTAAGGATGAAGATATTGTTAAAAAAAAAAAAAAAAGAAAAGAAAAAAAAAATTTAACAAGCTACATCTTCTATGGCCAGCCATAACTCCTGATGTTAGTCTGGGGTCTTCCTCCCAATGGATTTGCTGTGCAAGATCAGTTAGAAATCATGCCTTGCCTCCTAATAATTTGATTCCTAAATCATTTGTATGTAATTTAATTTCCTGTGACCTTAAAACTTCTGAAGATGTTGGAAGTGGGAGAGAGAGAGGGAGAGATAGGTCAGTGGTTCTCAGGAGCCTAAAATGGCCCAAGATCTGATCTTTGCACCTCATTCTCTACTTAGAGCACCTATTCCTCATGGGAAGCAGGAGAAATTAGCATTGATTAAGCAGGTCCTATGCTCCAGGTAGGGGCTTCATACACATAATTTTAAATGCTCCTAAAACCCAATGATGCATGTATAAATTATCCTCATCTCATGGATGAAGAAACTAAAGCCCAAAGTTATGACTACTATGTAGCAGAACTAAGAACCAAGCTGGAGCGTTTACACTCCTAACCACTGTCCTAAATGTCCCTGTGATGATGGCTTTCTCAACCCCAGCACAGGTTCAGATCTGACCATACCAGGACTGCAAGGGGGTGTTTGGAGGGATCCCAAAGCCCTGTAGCCAGAGCTGCTGCTATCCACCTGACTACACAGTTCCCAACCTACTCTCTGGGCAGGGGAGACTCAGGCTTCACTTCAACCAGGGTAGTTTCACTTTTTCCCGGTTTAAAATATTAGGCTGTTGAGAGTGTCTGTCTATGATTTCTTTTTCTCACTCAGGTCACTTGCTGAGGGTTAGGGGTCAGGAGAGGGATTTCTGGAAGAATTTCCCCATATCACCTACGTGAAGAGCTCCAACACACAGCAACAGGCACTCAATAAGTAATGACTCTGCATATGTAGCTCTCAATATGTGACACACACTTTGCATATATAGATTTATTTAATCCTCACATTCACTCTATGAAGAAGGTGCTAGTATGACTTCCATTTCTACATGAGAAAAGTGAGAGACAGATGATAGGGTTCAGGAACTTGCACAGACCACACAGTTAGTGAGATGTATAGCTCAGCATTGAAGCCAGGCAGTCATGTGTCCAAAGCTGACCCCACTTCCCCATCTCATGAAAGGCCATCAGCCATTCCAGGCTAAGGCAGGCCCCATCTTGAAAAAACCACATCCATCCTGACAGGTCTGTATCTCATCATCTCTGAGTTCCACCTTAGAGGTGCTGTGTGCAAAGATAATTGGATCCCCATATGATGTCTTATTCTTGGCTTCCAGCTGCAGAGAAAATTCTGAGTGGCATTTCTAACCATGCTCTGAGTCCTCAGGAACATGCATGAATTGTATATCACATCCTAAAACCTCTTTATAATGATGGCTTTGTGGGATCAGATTGGTGTGTACACAGAGGCTAAACCAGTTCCAGTAGACTTTTAACAAATAATAATTTTTTCTGATTTTAAAAGCAACACATACTCCAAAACAAATAATAACCAAACAAACAATATTGAAAGTAATAACATAGTAAGATGAAATCCCAAGTAATTCAGATGGAGGGTTAAGGATAAAGGTAAAATGTCAGTGATACATGGAATATGTTAACACAAGACATTACAAAATAAAACGATGGCTTAATAGTTTTACAAAATCTACTTGGATTGTGTTGCCTCAAAATAACCCCATCAAAATGTCTCAGCAAAATAAATAAATGAATAAATAAGGCTAAGTGGAATCCCCAAGCACTCTGAGGTTGCTGAGTTCCTCTACAGATCAAACCTACTTTACAGTGACCAACTTTCCAGGTTTGCCAGGAATTTCCAGGGCCACAGGACTTCCATACCCAAATCAGTACAGGACCCGGCAAACAGGGACAGTTGGGCAGGAAAGATCTAGCACCCTGGCACTTCTAACACTGGTTCAGGTTCAGGCTCCAGGACCAGTCACATTAAACCAGAACCTGCCTTGCCACATCTTCCAGCTGTGTGCAGGCACTTCTGGTGGCCCCAAATGTCTCCTTCTTCAGACAGGATGTTCTCAAGCCCTCTCCCCTCATTATCCGGGCTTCACCTTCTTCTCAGTATGTGCCTTTCCCATCCTCCCTCATTGCCCAACTCAGGACAACAAGTACTTCCCAAGGATCAGCTCTATGCTCCATTATCTCCTTGGTGCTCTGGGCAAAAGAGAAGACATCCAAGGGTAGAATGACACCTTCCAAAAGCCTCAGAGAGGGCCTCCACTAACGCCAAGGACCCCCAGGGGCTCCAGCCCCCTAGCCAGGCAGGATCAGGAGCCTCCTCTGGAGTCCTCTATCTTACTAGCACACCCACTTGATTCTTTGTTTTATGGTCAGTCTCAGCATTAGACTTCAGTTCATTAGAGGCTGGGATGTGCCTGATTCTTCAGTGTCCCAGGGTCCAGTTCCATTGATATTTGCTGAGTGAACATGGCATCCCCAATACATTATCCTCGGCTTCCTCCCCAGAAAATTGCATGGGAAGATGGGGTCACCTGCAGCCTCAGGATGCTGGAACTGGACCTCAGTCAGGGTTCAGATGGGGTAGGCCTGGCCTGGAGTGACAGCTGTAGGACTTACCGCTGACCCGGCAGGGTGATAGAGTCCAGGTGGCGACCTCCAGGCAGCGCCATCATGTTGATCCCAATCTGCAGCAAGGCCTGCTCGCAGCGGTGGTGACCCTGAAAATAGAGGGCAGGATGGCACAACAAGGCCCTAAGAGAGGAGGCACAATCACTTTCTCTCCCATTCCCAGGCCACAAGGAACCAAAGCAGGCAAAGAGGTAAGGCCTCCTAGCCCTCTTCTTCTTTTGAACCAGTTTTCACTCCACTATCCTCATACAAGTAAGGCAGAACCCAGATTTGATCTTGTTTCTAAGTCCCTAGTCCACTTTATATCTCTAAAATATTTTCTTATTCCAATTTCAAATATTTGCCTGACTTATTTTGGTATGTATCAAATATTGGAACACACAGCCTGTAAGTATTGCATAGGACATACTTGTACCAAAAAAGTATCTATGGTTTATCTGAGATTCACATTTAACTGGGCATCCTGTATTACTTGCTAAAACTGGCAATTCTACATTCTAATTCCCTGGCTATTACCACTGTAGAACTGGGTTATTCACTGTGATTATGCTTAAGTCTGTCCTGGAAAATGTGACCCTGTTACTGGCATAGTGGTTGCTTTCCCAAATCCATTCCACTTCGGATGATGCAACTGTACCCAAATTGCCAGTGGTTGGTTCAGAAATAGGCATGTGACTCAATTTAGGCCAATGAGCCACGACAGGACTGCTTCTAGGAAAAGTGTTCTTTCTCCCAACAGAGAGCTGCAAGATGAGACAGTATCTCTCCTGTTGGACTTGAACAAGGGAGCATATCCACTTCAATGCTGCTAGAAACCATCTTGCAATCATGAGCAGCACTAGCTGGAGAACAAAGTTAGCACACTCCAAGAAAAATATGCTGGGTCCTTGATCACTAAACCACTGAATCAACTAAGGCTGGAGTCTGGCCCAGCTCTAGGCTTCCTATTATCTAAGAAAACAAAAGCTCTTGTCGTTTAAGTCAGTCTGAGTGAGGGTTTTTGTTCTACACAGCCAAAAGCATCCTAATGAATAAAAGTAATCCAGGTTCCAGGAACTCCCAATCCCAGCACCGAGGATGCAGCTGGCTTCCCTGTGCCTCACATTTGAACCCAAACCAACTACACACCTGTTTGTATTTTTCTCCCTTGCCTTGTCCCTGCTGTGCTCCTGGAGGCCTTTTTGTACACAATCCCTTTTTTTCATTTCTCTCTCTCTCTGCCAACTCCTCCAAGCCCATGAGTAAGCCCTCCCTGAGGAATATGCAGATTCTGTCACCTTTGCCTGGGCACATCAACAGAAGAGTCTTACTCTGTGATTACACAGGAGCCCTATAGAAAAGAATGGAGGAGGAGCATTTTAACAGTGATATGGGTGAACACGAAGCACTCATCATAATGCTGGGAAGAAAGAAGAAAATGGTCAGTCGGAAAAGTGTGGGGAGGCAGGAACCCAGAATAAACTAGGGCACTAGATAATTCCAGAGACTTGCTGCTGTTGCCTGTTTCTCTGTCTGTGGAGCTCATTAGACTGTGAGCTTCCTGAGGGTAGACACCACATGTGTTTCTGGCACTGAGCCAAGGGCCAGGCACTTAGCCTGCACTCTACACCTCTGTTGAAAGAATGAGTGGGATAAATTTTTAATACATTGATGTTGAGCCCCATCTCTTCATCTGTAACTGAGGATAATAATATCTATTTTAAAGAGCTATTATAATGATGACATGAGATTAGGAATGTGGAAGTATATGGCCAAAGTAAGAGCTAAATAAATAGTTAGCTATTATTATCGTTATGTCCTATAAGTCTGCTATGTGCTCAGCTCTCTGGTCATCTATGCTAAGGGAGATGTAGAAAATGAGATACAGCAGGTAACTCACCTAGCACAGCGAGAGGCTCAGCGAGCGTTCATTAGCATATGTTATCAGCATTGTTATTTCCATCATTATTATCATTATTTAGAAGGTATATTTTTGGAATTTAGTGAGCCAATAGGCTGAAAGGGGTGGCACAAAAGAAACACTAGAAACAATAAAATGAGGTGTTTGCTCCCTTTTGATATGTTTGACTAAAGTACAAAAAAGGAAAATACCAACTTCTTAGGGTAAAAGCTAAGATGTGATTAGATGGCAGTGAGCAAGCAGATTTTGTTTTACTTCCACATCTTCATTACTGAGAAGAAAAGAGGCAAAGTAAATATGTTGAAGTGGGGATTAGAGCCTAAGGTAGGAGAGGAGACAGGGAAATACTGAGAAAATTCCAGGACCCTTTGAAGTTTGAATCAAGAGGAAACTTTCGGATGAGGTAAAGCATACATACCATAGAGTATTAGAGTGAACCTCTGACTCTGATTCAAGTCATTTCTGAGGGACCCAGAGAAAAAAAAGAGTTGTCATGAGCAGAAGCCTGAATGCAAGAAAGTGTTCTGAATTCCTAAGAGGCAGATTCCAGAAATACAGCTCTGTGACCGTAAATTCTATAGCCAATTCTGGATCACCGACCTGTGAAGCCTTCAGAAAGAAGCAGTGAGCACAAGAAGCCAGCTAGAACACAGCAGGAACAAGCCAAAACAATCAACTTCTTTTCCTTCAGGAGCCTCTGGGCTGTTAGCTGAGGGAACTGCAATAAGTCTAATATATCTCGATTTTTGTAAAGCATCCCAGTGAGGTGCCATCATTCATCCTTTTTACCCATGACTTCCCAGCAGGTATTCAGGGGGAGCCCGCCAGCTCACAAAACCTTCCTTCATGTGATCTCTTGTGTTCCCAGAGGCTGGGGAGGCACCTTAAGGACATCTGATTGCATATGTATCACTGCCCTATTCACAGACTGTGTCATTATTGGCTGCCTCTTTGCCCCCAAAAGACAAGATTCCTTAATGTCTAAAGCCAAATCTTGCTGAATGTGGGATTAGGCACAGTCCTGACCCAATGACCTGCACGGTCAAGACTATGGGTTGTGAATCAGATTAGGCCTCAGAGGAATCACAGCTCATTTTCACTAAGGATGAGGAAGAATATCTGAAAGGCGAGATAGGAAATACTTGTTTAACCCAGCTGATGTTTATAAAGTATCTATAACAATAATAATTATAGCTAATATTTACTGAGCATGTCTTATGTGCCAGGCACTGTTCTAAATGCTTCATATAGTATTAGTTCATTTAATGCTATCATCATCCTCTGTTACAGATGAGACCTCTCAAATTCAGTGAGAAGCACAGGTTAGTAGGTGGCAGAGGACTAGAATCCAGGTTTGATGATTGAAGGGGAGGTGCTGGAGCAGATGAAGATAAGAGCCTGTGTTCAGCCTTTGCTAACAGACAGCCTGACTCCATTTCTGAATGGCAACACCCAACCCCAGAGGGCACTTCTCAGAGATGCCAGCACTCTTCCCTCTCACCAGCACCGCCTACTGCTCCCACTTCCCGGACTGTGAATCTTCCAGCTTCATCTAGTGCCAGCCCTCAGTGACACAGCCCTCAAGAAGAAAAGCAAACACTGCAGTCATATGGAAGGAGAAGGAGACATTTCTCTTTTGTTCCTCATTTATTGTCACTTTTGTGAAAGTCATATCGACAGAGATAGGCCCTAAAGGGTTCGGGGGATGGGAGATCATAGTTCCAGTTAAAGCTTCAAATAGACCTGTTTAAAGCATGCTATCCTCAGGGAAGCTCCTACTGCAAAGTTCCATCTTCAGTCCGAAGCTCTTGCACCCACCCACTCCCACAGCCCTGAGTCAGACTCATCCTGTTGAACAGACTTGAAGAATAAACTCCTTCCAAAGTTACACAGAATGTTAGGAAACCAAAACTGAGTTAAAGACAAGCCCTTGGTCCTGGGCTCTGTGTCCTCACTGGTGTTGCAAAAAGAACATGAACTTTGGAATCTGATAGATTCAAATCCTGACTTGTACAAATCCTGACCTGATAAGTACCTAACCTTGGGAAAACTGCCAACCCACTGAACATGTGGTTTCCTCAATTATACCTACTTCCCAGGAGCATCATGAGGATTAAATGAGATTCCTTGCAAAAGTCCCCAGTATTGTGCTTGGCATATAGCAGCCTCCAAGAAGAAGTACCCTTCCTGTTGGAAGGAAGAGTTAAGAAATATATCTCAGAGCAGAGCTGCTGCTTTTCCCAGGAAGAGAGGTGAAAAGGACACATGCAGGAGTGAGCAGGAAAGAGGAAATCCCTCCATCACCTGTCCCAGGGCCTTTCCTAATTCACTGAAAATCCCACCATGGATCCTGCAGCCTTGTTTCTTCAGGGCTCTGGGCTATGTAGCTCCCACCAGAAGTGGCTAGTTTACAAGAAAGACTTGAAGTCTTAAGTGTCTCTGATTTAATTCAATGCTTGCTGTGACAACAGCTCCATCTGGACAGCTCATTTCTGCGCCCACATCCAATTAGACGCAGCCTTTGCTCACCTCCATTTGGCTAATGACACATGGTTTGTGGAGGAAATGGAGGCTATTTACAGTAAATTATTCAATTAAAATCAGGAGCAAAGGTGGTTTCCGCCATTGTCTAAAGGGCCGATCCAGGTACAGCTCCAAACATGTCTGGGATTGCTTAATCTGCAATCCCATTAGGGCTGTCAATATTAGTGCTGTCAACACGAAAGGGACAGGGGAGAGTAAGTATTGTGGAAAGTAGTTAAGCTTTGGCGGCAGCTCTAGGAACAGGGAGGAGGTTGCTAGGGAGTCGAAGAGGAGTTAGACAGCACCAGGCAGATATGGCTCTTTCTCCAAGACCAGAAAGTGCAAGAACTGGAAGCAACAGAGATGTCCTGTCAGCCCATCATTATGAATCTCGACCATTTGGAGCTGAAAAGGCCCTTAGAGAGTACTGCTTTACTGGGGAAGAAATCAGGGCTTTTCCAGAGTTTCCATATCTGTTTCCCATCTGTAAAACGGGGCAAAAATAGACAACCTCACAAGATTGTTGTGAGCACCAAGATAATCCACGTGTAAACATTTATCTTTCTTTCTGGCCTCTAACATATGAACCCATTTCCTACATTTGAGAAATATCCCTTTGTTTAAGAGTCTTAGTGTAAGGGAAACCTGCCTCCCAACATGGAAACT